GAGGGACAGACTGTATGTGTGTGTGTGGTAGCGGAGGAAGTGAGAAAGCAAGCTGCCAGGTCTGTGACTTGAACTGTAGTCATACACGTGGGAGTCCAGCACCCTTAACCATCATGCCACGAGCCAGCCCCAGGAGTTTTAACCTAATGGCTAATCATGTTCAACATTTTTTCACAGGCTTAAATGCTTTTCAGTGAAATTTCATATATTTTGTCCATTTTCTAATTGGATTGTTCTTTCATGAGTTGAATTTTTTTTTAAAGGATTATGTATTTAACTTTATTTATTTAAATTTGATAAGAAAGAGAGAAAGAGAGAGTGAAAGTGAAAAAGCAAGCCACCAGGTCCAGGACTTGAACCACGGTCAGCCATGTGGGAGTCCAGTGCCCTTAACCACCATACCACTTGCCAGCCCCCACAAGTTGAATTTTGAGAGTTCTTTATATATGCTAAATATAAGTCTTTGTCAGATATGTGGTTTGCAACTATTTTCTCCTCTGTATTTATGAAAATTTTCTTCTGTTAGCTGGATTTGAAAGGCTGCACTATCTACTCAAATAAGGTTCAGTGATGATCTTCAAGTTGATAATTTCTGAAAATCAGTGTTTTCACTGTCACTATATTTAGTGTCCCAAAGAAAGTTAGGACTATTGCAGGTGAGTCCCATTACTGTTGAAAGCCTATCATGGACCAAATACTGGGTTTAATAAAGGGGAGAATTTAAAAGGCATCATCTACCTTCAGAAGGCCAAGTTAGTGGAGAAAGCAGTTAAGTAAACCAAAGATGGTTGTCTTATCAGCATGATAAGAGCCAAGTCAGAGTTCTCTCAGGTACAACTATCATGAAGGAGGGTACATAAGAATAGGTAGCTTGGGGGACCAGCAGTTAGCGTAATGGCTATGTCGCTGGACTCCCACGTAGTCGACCACGGTTCGCATCCCGGACCTGGTGGCTTAAAACTCACGCCAGGCACATGTACATGCGTGCCCAAGATACTGAGAGGAGAATGGAGGAGAAGAAAATGTGGCATGGCCATCCCCCTGTGGGGTGATTTCTCACTTTCTATCTCTCTCTGTCTGTCTGGTGAGCACACACGCCCTATAGCAAAAACCTCTCCAAAAAAAAAAAGAATAGGCAGCTTGTAGGAGTCTTTCTGGAATACCTTTTAAGTCCAGCTTAAGGAAACATTCTTTCCATAGCTAACAGCAGGTTCTTTTCCCATATCACAACAAGAGAATTTCAAAAAGTTTATGGGAAAATGGAATTAAAAAATAAAAATGGGGACCAGGTGGTGGTGTGGTGGTCAAGGCGCTGGACTCCCACATGGCTGATCGTGGTTTGAGTCCCAGACCTGGAGGCTTGTTTTCTCTTTCTCTGTTGAGTACATGAGCCCTGTAGAAACTAAAAAATAATAATAAGTAAAATTAAATAAATAATTATTTTAAAAATATTAAAAAATACATAAAAACCTCAAAATAAGTTCCTGGGCCAGCCCATAGCCTGATGGTTAAGGTGGCTGGACCCAAAATGGCCTTTCAGCAAGTGGACCTTTTCAAAGTCATGATTTTCTTCTTCCTGGGTGAAAAATGAACTTTTGCCCAGTCATCCCTCTGAATTATCAGAAAAAAATTCCAGCTTAACTAAGATAAGATGAATTTTTCCACATTGAGAGACATCGGGGTCTCTTTGCTCCACTAAAATTACAAATGGAATTCAAGGCCGTACAGCAGGCTCAGAGTCTTCTATTTTGTCAAGCTCAAACCTTTTGCTGGATATTTTGAGGGGTAATGATGGGACCATTGGATTTGAAGATATTCTTAATGACCCTTCACAGAGTGAACTAATGGGAGAACCGCACTTGAGGGTGGGGTATGTGCTTGGTTTATCGTGACACATGTGCCTGCCATGAAAGTGGCGCTGCAAGTTGTTTATGTCATCTTCTTACTGTAATTTCACGTATGAAAAATTAAAAGTACTGACACCTGAAAAAAAAAAAAAAAGAAAAAAGGTGCTATCAATGGAACCAGCAGGTGCGTGGTGATTAAGGTGCCGGATTCCCACACGGCTGACTGTGGTGAGTCCCAGATCTGGTGGCTTGCTTTCTCACTTTCTTTCTCTCTCTCTCTCTCTGGTGAATGCATGTGCCCTACAGCAAATTTTAAAAATAATAAATAAAATTTTAAAAATAAATCATAAAAAAGGAAAAGATGCTATCCTACCATAAATAAATAAATAAATAAAATTAAAGGGGAAACAAAAGGGCAGTGAGCGCAAACAAAAGCCTGGGATAGAATCCGTAGATCTACTGCAGTGGGTCATCCAGCATAACTCTCAGTTTTTACCATAGTTTATGGATCTTTCCTATATATTAGAGAAGTCCAGGCAAGAAATGACTGATGACCACATACAATAATGAATTTTAAAATGTCATGAGCCGGCCAGCAGATGGTGTGGTGGTTGGGGCGCTGGACCCCACATGGCCGATTAAAGTTTGGACTTGGTGGCTTGCTTTCTCACTTTCTCTTTCTCTCTCTGTGTGTCTCTGGTCAAGTAAAAAATAATAAATAAAATTAAATAATTTTTAAAATATCATGGGCATTAGCTAGCTCATCTGATTTTTAAACTGTGATCTTGTTTTGTTTTTGTAATACATGCTCAGTACTACATTATAGTTTTACAGATGAGAACACTGAGGCCAGAGAAGCTAAACCCCTTATGTTTTATTCATATTTATTTATTTTTGAGGGAGATTTTTGTTATAGGGTGCATGTACTAGCCAGAGAGACATAGAGACAGAAAGTGAAAAATCACCACCCATGGGGGATGACCATGCTGCAATCCCTTCTCCACTCTCAGGATCTTGGGCATGCACACACGGGTGCCTGGCTTGAGTTTTGAGCCTCCAAGTCCAGGACCTGAACCTTGGTGGACTACGTGTGCATCACCCAAGCAATGTAACCACTAGGCCATCTGCTGGCCTAACCCCTCGCCTAACCCTTTATTTATCCAAGACCACAGGGCAGTAATGGTCAACGCTGGAATCCCAACCTAAGACTTTGGGGTCCTATGTTCTTTTCCTACACCTAAGAACCACATTTAGCTGCTGGCTTTCTTTCCTGACTTCATTTATTGTACCTAACATTAACAGCATGAATCATCTATTTGTGATTGCTCTCATTAAAGAGATTTTTTTTCCCCTTTCATTCAGGTGAAGACGCTGATGTTTTCTTAATTATTGAGAAAACAATAACAAGAATTTTTGTCCTAATCAAAATGATTCCTAAGATAAAAAGATGAAAAACAGTTAAGTTTTTAGGATGAAAAAAATGTAAAAGGGTTTTTTTTTCCCTAGGTAAAAAGAACTTACAGAATCACCTTTCACAGAACAATTACAAAATTTGGTCACATGTTTCTTAAATAGCAGAAAGCACTAAGTACAGTAAAGATATAGGAATTTGTTGTGAGAATAAATGCTTGGAGATCAGTTGTACAGAAGTGGGGAGGGAATCATTCTACTAGTTTGAAGACACGATTGATAAATACACTAAAACTTGGGCTAAAAATTAGAATTTTGTAGAGGTAGTTCAATCCAACGGTAAAGAAATCGATTTTTGTCCTTCTTTTCATGTCTTGTATTTATCCTGCATTTGGTATTAGCATTGTTATGCCTGACAAAAACAATAGTTACACGTAAATAACGTTTAGAATTGTGCTATGCAGTATGATGTCCTCACGTGGCTCTTGAAATGTGGCTCATTCCACTATGTAAACCTCACTTTGGGTTTCCACTAGTATTAAAAAAAAAAGAGTATCTCAATATTTTTACATTCGTTATGTGTTGAAATACCATTTTAGACAGATTGGGTTTAATAAAATATTAAAATTAATTTCACCTGTTTTTTACTCGTTTCATGTGGCTTCTAGAAAACTTATAATTACGTAAGTGGTTCGCATTTGTGGCTCGTCTTAAATTCTTATTGCACAGCACTGGTAGATGAAAAAGAGGGAAGAGTTGTACTAAAAGGTCATGGGTTTTCTTAAAATTTCTGGAGGGTAAGAGAAAAGGGAAGCGGCTGAAGCTCAGGAGGTCACACCGACTGCAATAAACACCGACTGTGAACGGAAAGGGAGTCGTATTTTGACTGTTTCGACTCCCCTTCCCGGTGCGGCTAACGGGGCAGGTGGCAGAGCCCGTTCCGGGTCCGGGGTTCCTCGGGGTTCGGGGTCTGGGGTCTGGGTTCTGGGGTCCGAGTCCGGTCCCCCCACCCCGGCCTGGGGTCTGGCCGGACCGCGAGACTGAGCACACCTGCGCGCCCACGGAGCTGCGCGTCCGCGAACCCCGGCGCTGGGTCCACGCCCCCTCCCCCCGGATTTTTATTTTCCTGGCATCAACCGTTGGTCTCGCACTTCTCTCCTGAGAGCCACCGAACAGGTCGGCTCGGCTGGGGTAAGCGTCCCTCTTCCCTCCAGCCTGGGCCGGGCAGCCGAGACGTCTCCGCCCCAGCCCGGCTGCGGGCAGGGCCGTCCCG